ATGTCATTGTGATGTTTTGTTCATTTTCTATTTTCACGTCAATATGATATATTGTTTATTTTCTATGTTCACGTCATTTTGATGTTTTTTTTATTTTCTATGTTCACGTCATTGTGATATATTGTTTGTTGTCCATGTTCACGTCATTGTGGTGTATTGTTTATTTTCTATGTTCACGTCATTTTGATGTTTTTTTTATTTTCTATGTTCACGTCATTGTGATATATTGCTAATTTTCTATGTTCACGTCATTGTGATATATTGCTAATTTTCTATGTTCACGTCATTGTGATATATTGTTTGTTGTCCATGTTCACGTCATTGTGGTGTATTGTTTATTTTCTATGTTCACGTCATTATGATATATTGTTTGTTTTCCATGTTCACGTCATTGTGGTATATTGTCTATTTTCTATGTTCACGTCATTATGATATATTGTTTGTTTTCTATGTTCACGTCATCGTGATGTTTTGTTCATTTTCTATGTTCACGTCATTTTGATGTTTTTTTTATTTTCTATGTTCACGTCATTGTGATATATTGCTAATTTTCTATGTTCACGTCATTGTGATATATTGCTAATTTTCTATGTTCACGTCATTGTGATATATTGCTAATTTTCTATGTTCACGTCATTGTGATATATTGCTAATTTTCTATGTTCACGTCATTGTGATATATTGCTAATTTTCTATGTTCACGTCATTGTGATATATTGTTTGTTGTCCATGTTCACGTCATTGTGGTGTATTGTTTATTTTCTATGTTCACGTCATTTTGATGTTTTTTTTATTTTCTATGTTCACGTCATTGTGATATAGTGTTTATTTTCTATGTTCACGTCATTGTGATATAGTGTTTATTTTCTATGTTCACGTCATTGTGATATAGTGTTTATTTTCTATGTTCACGTCATTGTGGTGTTTTGTTCATTTTCTATGTTCACGTCATTTTGATGTTTTTTTTATTTTCTATGTTCACGTCATTGTGATATATTGTTTGTTGTCCATGTTCACGTCATTGTGGTTTATTGTTTATTTTCTATGTTCACGTCATTATGATATATTGTTTATTTTCTCTGTTCACGTCATTAAAATAAATGGTTTATTTTTTGATGTTCACGTCATTACGATATATTCTTTATTTTCTATGTTCATGTCATTGCAATATATTGTTTATTTGATAAGTTCACTTCATTACGACTGACCATATTTGTACGTGATAAAACACAGCATGGTTGAGTGTTATAATTACATTCTACACATTCTTGCTACTTTAACATTTGAATAGTTTGAAAAATTTAAACGTTTCCATACTTTTACTGAGCATTTTAATGGTAATATCACGCTATATATTAGCTTTATATAGAAAGAATAGAGATGATGGTTTCATGTGTTTAAGTTTACGGAGACCTTCATTATTAGTATTTATAGTGTGCGATTCTTTACACTAGCCACACAGCAAGCCATACTCATTATACAAAAGGCAAAAGGCAAATGGCAACCAGTAATACCGGTGTGATATGAAATAGGCCGTTTATTCACAAAACGACATTAAGTACAAACATGTATACACTACATGTCACTACACACTGACCTAAAATACATGTAGTCATTGTGCAATATTTTGTTTGCTAAAGGTTAAAGGGGTAGTCATTTAATGGGGTGTTAGGTTTGCGGTTTTGTTCAGATTGTCGTGAGCTACATTACATGTATCGTCCCTCTTTCTACTTGTACGTTTTATTTTTTCAACTGAATTGCTGTAATGATAGGTAACCTTCACTTAAGAAAAACTAAACTACAGATAAGAAAGATACCTAAAACCATTATATTTTATCTGAACTGAGGCTTGTTATCGTGTCGTTATAAATATATAAAGGATCTTGCTTTCGTGTAAGATTCTATTTATCACGTAACATTCATTATTTGAAGAGAAAAATATCAAAACAAAATAATGTGTTATCAGCTAACTCTTTATCGATAAAAATAAGGTACTCCTATCATAATATTGTCGCTCCGCGCAGTGCAAAGTAATCCAAGATTATTTTGATATTTCTTTAATATTGAACAGTTTTAAATACAATGAAAACAATTATGAAAAATACACATTTCAAATACATTTTGAAAAAGGTGTGTTAATAAAATCAGTACCTGTAGTGGCATAGGAATATATTTCAACGGTTTTGCAAAGCTATGGAGACTTAACCATAATTGTTCAAAATCTTCATTAATGCAATTTACAAATCGGAAACGACCGCAAAGTTGAATTAAAGGCTTCGTATTCTTTAGGAAATACACCGATTACATTGATAACATCAAAAGTGTACGCTGGAATAACATTATGCTATGACCTTAAACCCGATATGCACATCGCTAGTTCTTGTGGAAAAGGACGTAGAACCGTTAACAGCCTTATCAGTGTTGGCGTACACCAGAACGGTGTTAATCCATTAACAAGTGTACGCATTACCAAATCGGTTGTCCTCCCAGCTATATTGTATGGATGTGAATTATGGGCAGATCCAACCAAGTCATCCAAAAGCGAGCTGGAGCGAACGCAAAGGTACGCAACTAGGAGATATCAGGGTTTTGAAAAAACATCAGCAGCAGCAATCACAACAGGGGCTCTTGGACTACCGGATTTTTGGTGTGAAGTCGAAAAACGCACATTATTCTTTTGGAATAAGTTATGCAATGCCAGTACTGACTTCGTTTGGAAAAGCCTATTTCTTATCCGAGTATGCAACTTTGTATTTGGAAAGTACCTTTTCTATAGTGCCAGTTTTATTAAGGATATATCAGGCACAATGTTAAAATTTGGAATACACTCGTTCTTTCTTGAATTCGTTCTTACATCTTCAACATGCAGTTCAAGACAATGGAAGCTCTTTGTCAAAAACGTTACAGAACAGTTGTATTTCAATGAATGGTGTTGTGAATGTAAACACAGTGTGCTACTAAGTCATTATAATTGCATACATCCGTATATGGGCCTCTGTGGGAATTAAGCTTGAAATATCCAAAACTGACATGGAAACTTGCGGAATTAGTAAAGCTCTCATATAGGACAGGGGCTGATTGTGTAATTTGTAAACTGTGCCGTAAAGCAACAGACAAAATAGCAAAGCACCTCCTTATACAATGTCCATCTTTATTCAGCAGTAGGGATAAGCTTTTAGAGCATGTTGTAAATACGCTAAAGGTTATTGATAATGTTAAATTTGATTTGTTGGAAGAGGATAACCAGTACCTGTTTCTCTTGGGTAGTAGAATAGTGATGGAAATAGATGATGATGAATGGGAGAACTGCATCATCGGAGTTGCACGCTATGTAGAGCACATGCTTTCTGAAGTCAACAGTTTTCTTGAGAAGTGAATCGAAATTTCTGAGAGGTCAGTTGTACTGACCAATGTAGTATGTAAAAAATCTGCAGTGTTGATAACATAACAATATGACATTTATATACCATGTTTTCTATTATTGTACGAGTTAATTATTGTAATAGTTCACTCATGTAAGACATGTAATCTCTATATGGAGGAAATAAAGAATCTGTCTGTCTGTCTGTATGTATGTCTGTCTGTACCTATATACTGTTACTATATACTGTTGGCCGTTATGTTGTATTCCTGATACCTATATAACCATACAGTTGGCCGTTATGTTACATCACTGATACCTATATAACCATACTGTTGGCCGTTATGTTATATCCCTGATAACTACATAACCATACTGTTGGCCGTTATGTTACATAACTGATACCTATATAACCATATTATTGGCCGTTATGTTCCATCACTGATACCTATATAACCATACTGTTGGCCGATATGTTACATCACTGATACCTATATAACCTTACTGTTGGCCGTTATGTTACATCACTGATTCCTATATAACCATATTATTGGCCGTTATGTTCCATCACTGATACCTATATAACCATACTGTTGGTCGTAATGTTACATCACTGATACCTATATAACCATTCTGTTGGCCGTTATGTTTCATCACTGATACCTATATAACCATACTGTTGGTCGTAATGTTACATCACTGATACCTATATAACCATATTATTGGCCGTTATGTTCCATCACTGATACCTATATAACCATACTGTTGGCCGATATGTTACATCACTGATACCTATATAACCATACTGTTGACCGTTATGTTTCATCACTGATACCTATATAACCATACTGTTGGCCGTTATGTTATATCACTGATAACTACATAACCATACTGTTGGCCGTTATGTTACATCACTGATACCTATATAACCATACTGTTGGCCGTTATGTTACATCACTGATACCTATATAACCATACTATACTGTTGGCCGTTATGTTGTATCCCTGATACCTATATAACCATACTGTTGGCCGTTATGTTACATCACTGATAACTACATAACCATACTGTTGGCCGTTATGTTTCATCACTGATACCTATATAACCATATTGTTGGCCGTTATGTTACATCACTGATACCTATATAACCATACTAATGGTCGTTATGTTGTATCCCTGATACCTACATAACCATACTGTTGGTCGTTATGTTGTATCCCTGATACCTATATAACCATGGCCGTTAGGTTACCATATTTATGACATGGCCGTATGACATAATAAAATTGGTCAGTTCTGTGATAACTAAGGACAAATCTTTCACTTATTGGCTTGTTATGTCCTCCCCGAAGTGTCGCCTTCCTCTCTCTGGGTACAGTAATATCAGGCCGACTGTATTCGATGTGAACGTTAGTGTAATTTTGAAACATCCTCCATACTGTAAATGTGAGAATTCTCGCGTGTATTTCTCAAGATTGAACAGCTAGCGCTGAAAATTAGTAAGTAAATAATCTATATAAACTATAATTGATGTTTTACTCGTAGTGAAAGAGGCGAGTCTTTCTACACAGCGAATAATTCTTCCTCTTTTTTAGTATTTCAACTGTTTTGGTTTATGCTGTCTTTCTTTCGTTGCAGATCCGAAAATGGAGATTATAGTGACAACATTAAAAATATCTTGAGTATGTTAATAGCAACACAGGACCTAGCAAGGTAAGACGGAAATCAAATAAACAGGGGGAAATTTACATTTCTCCATTTTATTGTTCCCTTTATTATCGTCAATGGGTAAAGATAATGCACATTTCAGCTATAGATATCTTGTAAAAGAGAACATGCGTAGGTCTATTAGTCAGTTTACCATGGTGCCAAATTAGTTTTAAGCGTTGCTGTTATGCTTCTGATCTCATCCTAGTCCACTAGTGTGAGCTTCGCTGCTCTGCGTTGTACTATTTTTAAAGTGTCTATAGTCGTTTGTTAATCCTAACAGTTATGTTGAATTTCTATATTAAGATAATTTTAATGTTGGTGGTAACTTGTTCAAATTCCTCCTAGGGCAGGCTTATGTTAGTAGGCTTTATTGCTTATCTTGTCTATATGTGTTGGCCATTCGATGTTGCTGCTTATTGTCCTATGATATTCGAGTGCTGTTTTATTTCCTCGAGGATCATGTTTTATTTTTTCTGTTTTTGCATTACAGGGACAGACGTGGTTTTAATCCGGACGTAGGTTTAGGGTCCAGATGGGCCTCCATAGAACAGCTTACCAACCAACTTTTAGGTGAGTAAAGCCTAAATGACAGGCGTAGACAGGCCTTTGTTGTTGTAAAACAAAACTACCAAGCGTTGAAAGTCACATGATCTTTCAGTCCTGTTATAGTGAAAGTGTATTTACTAAATCTAGGTTACTACTTGTAAGTACGATAGATGATGTAACCCAGAATTTGGACACATGTACAAAAAGAATATATATAAATTTAAAACTTAAAAATTGTTTTTTTAATACTACGTTGGAAGGTATAAGACAAAAACCGTTGGCTAATATTTCGGGAGATTCACCATATATAAAGAGTTATTATTTTTTCACAAATCAGAAAAGTCTTGCATGCTATCTACCTATTTTCAACATGTGTCTGTTACTTTCTCTTTCAGCCCGAGAACATCTTTTCAGTGGTGATTCCCCCGGCCGGAGATAGGTCGGACCAGTAGTCAGCAGTGTTCCATACTCGACACTGTATCTCTTTTTCACATGTAACATATAGAATTAAACTTCGTTGTTTTCTCTACTTTGCTTTCGTATTATTTCAGTAGTATTAAGATAGCAAAACTTACTTAAAGTGATGTTTGTGGCAAATCAAATTCATGAGACATGATATAATGTTTTGTTTGTTCCTTTGATGTACATTAATATAATCATTCGGCAATGTAACGGTAAAATTGACTGGCTTTGATGTCGTGTGTCGCTAACACATAGCATTCAAAGAACAGGTACATGTATCAGTCTTATAGTTCAGATTTTCTTCACCTAAAACCAATCAAATTTAAAAATACAAAATACAAAAAAATACAATGTTGTAAGGACGTTTTACAGGAGTGCAGATAATGGCAGTGAGCTTGAAACTTCGGGGATGGTAGTATATTTGTGTACAATTTATCCGTTATTGATATAGTCACAATCCAATATCTGTTTTGGCGACCGCTCATGAAAATAAGCAACACCGAGTCCTCTGATATTCATATCTACATGTATGCAATGGATTTGCTAGGTTTAAATGTACTAAAGGTAGTTGGTTTATCACGAAGATATGAATTGGTGATACATGTAATGTATAAAGAGGATATTTATTCATTTGGAAAAATGTACCGATATTTTCATTCGACTTTGTGCCGGTGAATAGAAAAATGGATATTCTGTTCTATTTATGAAATATATATGGGATTCAAAAAGGCAATAAATTCTTCCCATTCATAATAGAAATCTCGTTCTGATCTAGTGTTCAACATAATAAAAATAAATCAAAGTGGAAAATTATTTAGTATAACTGAAGCTCTTCTGTCCACAAAGTGTAAAAATTAACACACAGAAGCACACTGATGACTCCCACCCCACTTCCATCGACTCATAGAGTCATAATAAACAAAACAAAATCGAAATAAAATAAAGCAATTGTTATGCCATTAACTTCTTATTCCAAACAAACAAAATTCCATAAGAAAAACAAGTTTCATAAAAGCATTTTAACTTCCTAGAGGAATACATCTTTCTGGTTCCTTCCACGGCAGAATCGCTATGTTTGGCAAGCTACATGTACTATGGTAGTATAATGACGTCACACTTGACGACAAGCCTCTGTGCCTTTTGCAATCGTATCATGCACTTCTACTGGTCACATTTTTTAACTAAACAAACCCAATTGTGTAGTTGGCTTAAACCTTAGTGAATCGAGCAAAATATCCAAAAACAAACACTTCATCTGCATCTGCAGTAAATGGGAAATCCTTTCTTGTTAGTCAAGACAGAAACGTACTTTTATTTTAATTTGCATACTGTGAATAATACCATCTTTGGTATTTACTTTAGTGTGAAAGAGAATTGCTAGAGGATATCTTAGGTTCTTGGAAATGATTATTTGGTCCTGATATTGTTGCTTCTGGAAAATAAATTCTGCTGACTGTCATCAACGATATAGTTTATAATCTTTAAAACAATTAAAATGTTTAAAATGTTTCCTGACATGCATTGATAGTTCTAGCTTTATATTCCGTCGTTGCGTATTGCAGTGTTATCTTCTCTTGTGAGCAGGTATTGATTGTTACGTCATTTGTTTGTGAGAGTAACGTCATCAATTTTAGGGAAAACGACGTAATGTTCTCACACAAACTAATGACGTAACAATCAACACCTGCTAAAAGAGAAGATAACTCTGAATTGTTCCGTTTAAACATGCTAAATTTACTTCATTTTTGGTTGATTTCAAACACACACAGTGTATTCAAGGTTTAGATTAGCTATGGCATTAAAAAGTTAACTAGTCAATTTTTATTTTAGAAATATAAAGGACTTCCTCATGAACTTCCCCCGCCTTCTTTATCCACGATAACTAACTATTTACCGGAAAAAAAAGATTAATTGCCGTAAAAACTCCACTTACACAGCTCTAGTATTTATTTCTAACTCTTTTCTGAGCGACACAATTTCCATAAATGGATGCTCCGGATCACCTGGTCTTATCTTCCATATAATGTTTTCAAGGCTCTCCATGCAAATTGTTTGCCCTAGGTTCTTTTCTATTTTGAGATTGAATTTTGTTTTCACTGAAACTTCGGTAGTTTATTGGGGTTTTCTTTTCCTAAGTGCCCAAGGAGCTATTCTTTACACTCTACAAACGACTGACGTTTACAATTGAATGCAACGCAGCTAAAATACTAGCAAATCACTATTACTGTTTCAGTTATATAAATCTGCATTGATGGCCCTGTAATGCAGGTGGGTTGATCATCAGAAAGGTTCTTTTCTGTCACTTGTAGTGACCCTAGCAAGAGCAACAATAGTGAGACATGGCATCAGAAAAAAGTCAAGAACACAAAAATCACATGACTTGGTCACATGTCAATGGCATTACCAATAATTTACACAAAGAGAAAGTTGTTTGATTATCTGCTTCGAATATCGCAGCGAAACCAACTATGTGCAAATTGTAAGAAGAATGACAACTCCTAAATTTGTCAAAATCATATAAAAATAGCAGTTAATTATTAATGTTCTTTTCCAATTATTCATCATCAACAGTGAGGCTGCGATAATCAACAAAGATTCTTTTTTATGAACGGCTTTTATTCTAGTAAATGGGTAAGGCTCGATTTATCATTAGGAGTGAAACTTTTGAATATTTTGAAATTGAAAAAAGAGCGAATCTTGGTTGGTGATATCATTTGAAGATATCATGTAATAATCAGAAGAAATAAGAAGAAAAGTCTATTAGAATAATATCTTTGTAAATACAGAAAGCTGTATCTAGAGTAAACATTGCACTCCATTATGTGGCCACTACATCCATTTGGTACTCAACCTTGAAATTTAAAGTCAAAAGTATGATAAATTCACGTCTAAACTGTTCTAAAACGTATGTACATGTACTACACCAAACATCGTAAAGATTTGTATAACACTCTGTAAAACGTTACAAAAACACCATTAAAGCTTACAACTGTTGATGTGTTTCGAAGCCCGGTTGTCAGATATGTTTTATTTCAAGTTTTACCTGAAAAATATGTACAAAAATGTTGTGTGATTTAAAAGGATCAACACATTATACTGTTTCTATTACACTTCGTGATTTAACTAGGAAAACATGAAAAAGAGAGTCTACAAATACAGCTATTCATCAAATAAAGCAGGAACATGTCTAAGAAACCATTAAACTAATACATAGTGTTTATTCAAAACCAGGATAAATGTAACCGGGAAAACTAACAGACGTTTTACAATGCAGTACGTCAGCAATAAGAACAATTCAATGACTCGTCGACGGTATCGAAAGAGCAGCAATATCAACGACATTCCGGTGTCAGACAAACAGTAGGTAACCAGAAATCAAGTAGATAATGCGTTATAACACATCAGCCAAGACGACGTAAGGATCTCCACAGGAGCGATAGTATATTCACATCGCTGATAGGTTTGAGAATAAACCATATATCAATATGTTCCACATACCAAAATCATCGTTTGAGAGCGTTGTCACAAGGTCTACTTGTCAAGGGGGTTATCCGAAATTCAACTACAAATGGAAATCAGAAATGCATTGTCATTTTATTATTAATTATCTACAGACATTGGTATCTATATAATGGTATAGATACATTTAAAACCGTGTCACATACGATGCTACAAATATCATTACGATAATAAAAACAAAACATAGTTGTAATGGCGGCCGAAACATGGTTGTCAACCCTGCGGTCGTGATTGAAACGAAATCTGAAAGTGTGTAGGAGTTTGTAACCACCCAACCAACCAAACAGGAGGCAGTCTATTAGTGTCAGTAATCAGCTAACTAACAAATATTGACCCTGGGCAAATATGACAGTCCCTGGCCGTATAACTGGGCAAATATGGAATAAGCTGATTAATAACCCTATAGCTTAATGTTTGCTCGTTAACTTCATACATAATGTATAACCACAATGTTTTTGACATTATCATATCCTTTAAACTATTTTTAACATCCTGTTCTCTCCTGTGGTTACTACGGGTCACATGAGATGCGTGCGTATGCGTTCAGTCATAGCGTGTTTGTTTACAGTCATTGAAAGCACGTTGCTTTGTTTACAAACATTTTACATTGTTTTTCGGCGATCAAAACTCTTTACTTGTGCATTTTGATCGTTACGACGGTTTGTAATGTGACTACAGAATAGTTTGTCTTAGTCTTTTGGTCCCATAGAGACGTTGAGTCACTGTTTTGGACTTTCTCGTCCTCCGTGGAGGCGAGCTTCTCGAGGCGGGAGCGTGCCTGAATGGCCGCAACACACAAAGAACCGCCTACATCGAAAATTGTTGCCGAGTTTGATCTCGTTCGGCAGGTTTTTATCCTCGACGGAGGGATCTAAAATAGAGGCATCAAGGATCGTCCGCCTCTACCTCAAAACAGGGGACCGAGATTCCCGTGGGGGTTGATAAAACCATCGAACAAAGAAAGCAAAATGGAGGCCACGCCGAGATGCGAGACAATAACACGACCCCAGTCTGTGCCTTAGGTAATGGAGTCAACTAATGTGACCTCATCAAAGTGCATGTCTTTGTTGAGACTAGTATCTGGATTTACAATGTCTATGCAGGACAGAATGAAACAACAGGCAGATATGAACAAACGAAACTTATGCGGAGTTTGTTGACGGAACAAAGGCGTGAGTGTGACTCCGTGTCCGAGAGTGATGATGGCGCCGACTCGGAGACCGAGACTCAGTTAGGAGAAGTGGTTGACGTGTGCGATCAAATAGATCAGCTTTTAGCCGCACCGACAATAAAATCAACGGTCACAGCTACCACTGACATTGAAGTGCCGCTTTTCCACAGATGATGTGACGGGTGCCGCCATTAGCGATACGACAGTTGTCGGTCTAGAGAATAAAGCCCTGAAGAAAAGAATGGCAGAGGACAAATTGAAGCAAAATTGTTTGCCGACCCACGTCCGGTGAACATTGAAGCTCTGCAGAGCCAAAGAGTAAATCCGGAGGTATGGAGGAAAATTAAAATTCCTATCAATAAGGGG